TCTAGTTGGTTTTCTTGTATGCAGTCTCTTTCTCTTTCAATCTACTTTCCATATCAATTCCTAACTGATGGTCTTAAAACACCATTTGCTAGATCACTCTTCTTAGGAATCTGAAACAATTCTGTTGATTAGATAACATCAAACCTAAACTCCTGGGGACTGGGGGTGGAGCCCAGTGGTAGAACAACTTGCCTCACATGTGCCAGGCAGTGGGATTGATCCACCACCAACAATAACAAAAAACCTGACTAAACTCCTTTGGTTGGTTATCTTACATTTGTTTTGACATGTCTTAGTTACCACCTTATTGGTTCTTTTCTTCAACTTGGGTCTGCCTCTTCTACCTCCTCCCCTGTATCATTTATTCCTCCTTATGTGCCTTTGTTCATCCTGTCTTCCTTAACTAGAATGCCATTCTCATTCTTCCATTTTTTCTTCCTTTATATTAATTCACTCAAAAACCTTGTGTGTATCTAATATATGCCAAACTGTATTCTAGATACTAGGAAAATAGAAGTGTGGGTATTGTGTGCAGGAGGTAGGGGGAGACAAAACTCTCTGCCTTTTTGGAGCTAACATTCTACCTGGCGAAGAAAATAAACATWTACATATGTGAATATATCTCAAATATTAAAACACACTAAGGAGAAAAATGATGCAATGAAAGGGAATATGAGGGCAGGTAAGGGAGAATGCCATTCAAAATGGTGTGTTTTTAGGAAGGCATCATAKATTTATGTAATGAGGAGGGAGCCATGCAGATATCTGGGAGAAATTATCTAGGGAAGAAGGAAGAATGAAGGCTCTGAAGTTTCTCAGTGTCAGGCAGTTTGAGGAATAGTAAGATCAATCGGTTGCAAAATCAGAGAGTAAAGAGGCAGGAATGGAGGTAAAGTGAATGCAGATTGTGTGGACCTTGTAGACCATTGTAAGCACAATTTTTATGGAGCCAGGGGAGGGCACTGGAAGATTTCAGCAGACAAATGTCTTGATATGACTTATTTTAAAAGGTTGAAGTTAAGTAGAGGAGTYATAAGAAAATCTTGTGACCTCTTTTCCTGATGACTGTAGCACTTAATGCTATCTGCTTTCATTGGATACCTCTGGTTCCAGGAGCTAGTGCCATCAGGAAATTTAACTCAGCTTGTCCTACTAGTGTTTCTCCTGCTCCTCTTTTCTCCCCAAATGGCATTAGAAATCACTTGAGGGTAGAGACTATCAATAATAAATAATAATTCTGCATTTGACTATCAAAAGAGATGAAGAAAAAAAGCCCATAATCTTATCAGCTGGTTGGTTAAAGAACCTCATTCTTGCCATGTCAATATACATGGTATTTAAAAATGAGAATAATGCAGTGAGAGTTTATTTCTCAAATATTTAAAGAGGCAAACAGTACTGTTGCAGATAGGCAGCACTGTTACATAAGGTTATTAGACTAGTAGTTCCATGAGGGCAGAATCTGTTTTCCTCTTGTTCATGGCTTTATCTAGTGCTCAGCACCACACTCAACACACAGGGGTTGAAGATTAATATAGATAGATCAAACAGATTGTTAGAGAATGTATCATTTATAAAAATCTTTTTGTGGGAGAGTGTACCCAGTAGTCAGGAGAGTAGGGAGGCATTGGAAATACATTCTTGTCACCTCAGCTGACAGAGCTGAGAGTCTTGTAGTAGGAAGATACAAGAAGGGAAGAATACAGAATAACTGGATAATGATTTCATTCTTAAAACTGTGGAATTCCTTGGGAATTCCTTCTATACTCTCTACTAGTCATTACCCCACTCTGAGCCATTCCTTGGGAACTGCCTCTTCCTAGAACACAAATGCTTCCTTTTCCCCCTTTCTTCTTATCCCTGACATGTAGAGTAGATAGCAGTTCTTACTAGGCACCAGTGAAAAGGGGATATGGCACATCACAAAACTTTTCTTACTGTCTGGCAAATGGTGTTTGTGGGAACATTTTTAATGTATGAATTATGATTTTAATGAGATCATCAGTGAACTCATTCTGAAAATGGATAAGAATTATTTGTCATGAAATAGTTATATAGGCATGAAGGGATGTGGGCAAGGAATTATATAACACAAGGTGGGCATAATAAAAATGGCATCTGGAAAAAAAATCTGGGCTCACAGCTCTGTTGGTTGGGAAACAAAGCTAACATGGTTTGTTGTTTTAAATCTTTTCCCAAGCAGGTAGTTTACATATGGGAAAAAGTAAGTTCTCCAGTCACAATTTTCATCGTTAATCCTGACAATTATTTTGAACTGTGGAGGACTTGGGTGGAAGAAAAAAATATATATATATAATATACACATCTTTATCCAAGAAAAATAAACTATTTCACACTACTGGCCTGTTAGAATGTTCTGCTTAGGAAAAGAAGAGTATATTTGGCAGATTCTGCATTTGGCTATCAAAAAAAAAAAAAAAAGCCCATAATCTTATCAGCAGGTTAGTTAAAAGATAGTTTAAGAACCTCATTCTTGCCATGTCAACATATGTGGTATTTGAAAGTGAGAAACTAAAACTAGGTTCATTTTTTCACAACTATGTTCTGTAGATAGCATAGCCAGAAGAGTGAACAGCAGCAGAAAGAATGAGTGCATACTCAGAACATTTGCAATGAACCTTATCTACTGGCCAAGTCTGAAAGGGAGATGATGAYGCTGTAAGAGGGTTAAATAGCCTTTGGGAAGGACTATGATTTCAGATTTCTGCTTCACACCAGATTTAACATCTCTATTTATGCATCAGTCTCACCAGGGACATTTATACCTTGTATTGTTCRTATTTATTCTGAACTCTCTAAGCCCTAAAGGGTCACAGAAGCTTTTCAATTCTAATGGGAAGTTCCCATTGTCTTATTTCAAAAAAAGTGAATGATTTATTGGTATTTGTTATTTATTTATCTATTTTTAAAAGGGCATTTAGTACATATTTATTAGAATGGCTCAAATTTAATAGATGCTACTGATAAATAAATAGCATGAATTTAAAAGGGAAAGGAAATCTAAAATTTTCATTGTTTATACTGAAATATTATGAACTAGTAAGTCTAGAAAAAAAGTGAGGTTTTCAATGACTCATTAGGATTAAGAATTGTAACTTAACTATATTTTCTACAGTGTAGGACATTTTGAAAATGTCCAACCTATATAGTTTTAAACTAGAAAATATCTAAAGTTATAGCATTAATTTATTATATCTACATTATTTTTAAATTGTCCWCTACTAAAAATAAAGGGAGCACTTAAGGGAAAAATGGGAAGGAAGAACTAGGAAATATGCTGAAAAAGAATAAGATTAAAATAAAAAGGAAGCAAGACAGGATAGGAATGCAAAATGTGAAAGAATATATATTTGTTATTATCCTAAAGTTCTGGGGGGAAAGAAACCTGGCTTACGGCTTGAGCAGACATAAGCTTGCAAACAGTATATGTGTTCTTAGTAAATAATTAGTCTAATCTAGAAATGACTTTTCATTTTTTATGTGCCTATCTTATTTCCTGGGGTTCATGCTCTTTTTAACATCTCCACTAAAGCAACTGAAAAATACATGATTAAGTATTTCTTTCATCAAATTCATCACTTTTATCCAAAAGCAAATATTTTAATGGACTCCACAAAGTACTATGTCAGTCAAAAAAAATGTCCTGAAGAATAAAGTATTTTAAAAATTTAGAAGTGATGCTTCTTTCCTTTTCCTTATACATTCATGGAGTTTATGGCTATTGAGCTAAAAGATAATCAAAAAGATATAGTTACATCTACAATAGTTCTTTACCATTAAAATACATTAAATACATTTCTCCCAGTTGATTTTGTTTAGATGTTTCAAATTTTGCAAAAGTCTATTAAAATTTTTCACAGTATTTTACAACATCAGAACCATTATTAAAATATTCAAACTCTTAAACATGCATGTCAGTATTTAATAAATAAGATTATTYCTTTCAAAAAGCTTTATACTTTTCAAATACAAGAACCTCAGCATATACCAGAGTTTTGTTCTGAGTACAAGACTTTGCCCAAAGCAAAAGCATTCAATACATAATTTTAATAATGAAAACCTGAAGTATTAGAAACCAAGCTGTGTGTGGAAAAAATAAATCATTTAGGTGAAAGGGTAACAAACATTCAATTCAAGGATAATGCAGCCCTGAGGGAAAATATGCATATGAATGAAGTTTATGAAATTGGTTCAATGCCTCTGCAAAGAAAAAATAATTAGTTTATTTTAAAGCTGCCTATAAAATGTTTTCAATATTGCAGTATGAATTATTTATAGAAAAATGTACATCTAACTTTAAAGTCACCATTTTATTGAAAGAGCTTGAGTACTATGGAAGAAATTAGAAACAGGAATATATCATTTATGCATGTACTATTTGGGTAAGTCCTTTTTAAAAATTATRTAATTTTCAAGAAAGTTAAGACTTATTATTTATCTGAATCAGTAATATTTCATTCTGTTCAAATTTTAGGAGAGTAAGATATCATTTTCCTTTTAAATTTTATACAGAATGTCTTTTAAAGCTGACAACTACATGAAAGTGTATTACTTTCTTTTTTAAAATAATATTCAAGTTTATTAAGTAGAGTCTTAAAATTATTATAAAATATTTAACTTTTACAAGCTTCAAGGTTTAGATTGCTGCCAAATTTTGCCTATAACTGAACTCTCAAATCTGCTAACACCCACTGAATTGATTCCATTCTGGATTCTAAGGTGACAATTTCTTCTTGCAAATTTTTCTTTGCTTCCTCTAACACTTTCTGTATTTCTTCTAGAGAATGACTAATGATAACATCTCCAATTTGATAAGGTATCATTAAGCAGCTATTCATCTGCAAGCATGATGTCATCATGAGTATTTTTCAAATTCTGGAGCTGTTTCTTGTTTACTTCTATTTCTTCCTTTAGCTCTGTCATTCTACTTGTATTCCATGAAAATTTATCTTTTGTTGACCTTCCAAAGTGATACTGACATCTACTGCAGCTGCCTTCTTCATGCTGGCCACCATCATGGGTAAACGTGTATTCCTTTAAATTGTGAATACTAAATTAAAAAACTGAACAGGTCTAGGACTAAATAATAAAAAGATTGTTTGGGGGATGGGTGTTTCTGAARTTAATGCAGAAGTAGTATTAGGGGAAACATTTGAATTTGAGGCCTTACTAGAATGGCACGATGTACACTATATAAAAAGTTGAAATGGATTCATGAGACTCATATGTTTAAACCATAACTTTTAACCCATTTTCTGATTAGTATTTATTGTAGCACAGACTCTAAAGGAGGCCACATAGTACTTTAATACTGAAAGCAGGCCTGTAAGTTTTTGAACTTACCCTGACCTCATTCCTCCCAAAAATACAGGATATGAGACTTTGTCTCCAATCACATGTAAATTCAAAAATAAAAGAAAATCATTATTTTTTAAAAATGTATTTCTAATTCTCATAACTTTAAAGCTAAAACAAGGTAGTCAAGGCAAAGTATGAGAAGCAGAAACTCTGGGACATTAATAACAAAGTGAGTTTCTTTGCTTTCACAATTCTCAATGATGTGCTAAGTCATAATCTGACTGATCAAGTGAAAACTTGAACTCTTCTAGAAAAGCATCATTCTCTTTGGACAAGAAACATATACATAATAATAATGATGATAAATAACTTTAAAGATCATTACCTAAATTTAACTTGAATTTCTATAATTAACATGAGAATTGCCAATTTATGAGCACTAGAGGGCAGCAAAGCACTAGAAGGAATATTTATAATCTTAAAGTGGCAAAGTTGTGAATATATTCGTTTTGGGGGGGAAATCATACGCATAACAATTTAATAAATTTACTCCTTTTTAGGTTGCTAGAGTACATAGCATTCTTTGGTTTGTCATTTTAGGTACAACTTACTTGGCAAAATCCAAATAAGAAATGTGTCCATGATAAAACCCTGGTTTCATCTCTTTCCAGGAAGTTATATTCTTCACAAACCGTACCTAGAAAGGGAAAACATACTCATTAGTTAAGTAAAATTTATAGAAAGTGAAATTTGATGAAAGAAAATTTAAAACCAGTCACACCACTGTCAGAATTACAGAGCTGAAAACATAGGTTTGGACTAAGCAAATTATACTGTAATCTCTAACAGTTCATCATAGAGAGTTCCTATGCCACACTCAGAAAAAAAAAAAAAAAAAAAAAGATGATTCCTGAAACAAAACTGCACAATGCAACCATATATAACCCTGTATAGTGTATACATTTACATGGGATGAAAGGAGTATATTCAATCCTTACACACATATGGAAGCAAGCAAGCAACACTAGCAACACAAGAACATTCTATCTATCAAATAATCTGTTATTAAAAATAATTTTTTATTTGCAATTCGACAAGTAAGAAGTAATTCTTAAACCAATGATTAAAGAAAATATGATGACTGAGATTTTAAGACTTAAGAGCAGGTATCACAACCTTGTTGATAAAAAGATTAGTAAAATGAGAGAGATAATATCGATCAAATAAAAAAAAATTCAAAACATCTAAACATTTCTGAATTTACTAGAATTGAAAGTATGTAAAGGTTAATATGAAAAATTGAGTAAGTATAAATATATTAATATTTTTAAAGAATCGGATACCAGAATTTGATAAATGCAAATATCACCAGGTACCAAATAATGATATACAATTTCTCAAAGAAAAATGGCAGATTTTTGATAAGCAAATATCTGTAATGATGAATACCAAATAGTTAAACAGATTTTTAAGACTAGATACAGTGCAGAGAACTGGGGTAGAGAGGCTCACCATTCCATACTACACTGAAGGCATCTGCAAGCTATGACATCAGCCTCTAAAACATAGGTCTGTCCATCACATACTTACGGAAGATTCTGCAAGAATTTATTTTTTAAGGGAAGTATTAATAACCTATATGCTAATAAAAGAAATAATGAAGCTTTTAGAATGGAAATGAAGTAAGCCTTACTTACTATCTTCTCTATACACATACCCACCCTTGAAATAAAATCTGAAAATCAAATGTATATAAATTTAGGTTCCATTAGAAAATATATAATTTCATTTTGGAACATAATTTTTAATTAATTTTTTTTTTACTGAAACAAAAAGCCACAGAAATATGTGATTTGAAGTTCTCATGTTCTTTCCTATTCATTCTTCAAATAAGGAACCAAATAGAATGGAAATATCAAATGGCAAATGAAATTATTAGTTAATTAAATAATAACTAGTTAATCTAAAATTTGTATTTTTCAAAACAACTACGTATTGAACATGAAAAGTGTTACCACTTAATGGTCAATTACTTCATATAAACTTTTGGTTCTTTGAAAATGAGTTCCAGTATTTCAAACAAACATGGAAGGAAAACAGAAGGCAAAAAGAATAAGAAATTGGAGGTGGTGGTTAAAGAGAGCTTAAGACAAACTTAGCAACTCATCTCTGTTTCCCAGAAGCTGATTTAACATGGACATGGTGGTGTGGGAGGGAAATGAAARGAGAAGTGAGATTGAAGTCTGAGAAAATGTTATTATAAAACCAAATCTTAGAGAAGACCATAGTACAAACTTGGAGTATACTGTGATGAAAGATTCTGGCAGAAATAAGAGATATAAACTTCAAGTATCCTTTTTCCTCCAAACCTCCTAACATTAAATTAAACTTATGAGGATGACTGATACCTAATCCAATTTGTGTCCTTCAATTTGGGATGAATAGCCAAGGAAGCTRTGTAATACTTGGACTGATATCAGGCATCTTGAGTTTGAATGTACAGTCAATCACTTGGGACTCTTTTTAAAATGCAGATTCTGATGCTGAAGTTTTAATGTAGAACATTCTTACTTCTAACAAGTCCCCAGGTGATGGCCACACATCTAGTTCAGGGGCAACATTGAGAACCAAGGCTTCAGCATGTGTGGGAGCTAGCTTTTGATTTTATTCATCATATGAGGCGTATTTTTGTTGTGCTTGCAAAGGAGGTCTTTAGAAGCTTCCAAGCCATGTTAATCTTATTATACTGTTTCAATAAAACTATACTAAAATTCAGCAGATGTTTATAATCTTATAAACCACCATGATACATAAAACAGAAAGGGGAGGACAGAAGCAGAGGGAATTCTGTGTAACTGGCCTCATCTTCCTAAATTCCCCCTCCTCCAGTGATGCCTGAAGCATACTGGGACCAAATACTCTAAGAAATATAATTTAAACATTAATAAAATAAGAAAAAGTTCTGTGAAAGAGGTCTGTGCTTCCAGTTRGAGTGAGAGAAGAATTTACTAAAAGCACAGAACAGAACAAGGCATGAATCATCCAGTGTTATAACCAATCCCAAACTCTCATTTATAGAATCAGAATTTTAGAGGTGGAAGGGACCAAAAATATCCTGTACTCTTTATAAAAAGGAAACTAAAAGCCCAAGAACTCTATACCTTAGATTATGTTCTAATCCAAAAAAGTGTCTTCAAAAAAAGTCTTCTTTTTTAAGTGTTAATTTAGTCACTTCTCTATGTTTAATATAGTTCTCCAAGATTTTCTCTGTCTTCACTCTTTTACCTACATTTCCCTTTTCCTCACCCCAGTTCCAGGTCCTTCTCTGTTTTCTGCCTCCTCACTTCCCCTGACCGCTTGCTTTGTCTTTCAGTTTGTGTTCCCCTGGTGTTCATCTACAATGGGGACATTCTGCTAAGACCACAACACAAGCTCTGGAATACAGAGGGGTAAGAAGAGGAAATGGAGATTAGGCTAGCACACTTCAGTTTATTTGCTGACTAAACTTGGTACTAATGAAGTGGAAGGCAAAATGGTAAAGTAGAGCAAAAAGTAATAGTATCAGGTGAAGTTTGGGGGATTGAAACAATGAAACCCTTTGGTTTGAAGACAAGAAATGAAGCCATCATAGTTATTTTATTCAGAAAGAATTCTCAGTCTGACTGAAATAATTTACCAATAAGAATTTTTCAGCAGTAGTAGACACAGTACATAAAAAAAAAATGTTTTTGTGGCTAGCCTGGAGCAGATACCTAAACTCTGATTTTTGTCAGATTTTATAATCTGAGCAAAGTCAGGCTAGCAAGTAATCAAAAGATATCTTTAGGGAAAATACAAGCAATGGAGGTAATGGTGTTATAACTTATTTGCTTGTCGAGTAAGATCTTGACCAATACTATAAGAAAACACTATATCACTAACAACAAACAGTATCTAGACATACATTCTTAATAGGTTAAGCTCAACATTATGATTATCTGTAATCACAAATGAAACTGTTTTCACTATATAAAAAGAGCAGGAATGTCATGTTGAATACTTGGATCAGATTCCAACTTTGCAATTACCATCTACTGAATGAAGACTACTACTAATTTGAGTAATTACTATATCCTAAAATTCTACTAAGGCATTTACTTAAACATTACTTGCATGGCTTGGATATTTTAATGAAACTAAACCAGAAAATAAGCTTTCCACACTAAAGGGAAAGCTAAGTAGTGGGTGGATAAAAATACAAGAAAAGTTCTACTGTAATGGATTATTGTCCAAAGTTGAGAGCAGTATTGCCCAACTTTCTTTTTTTTTTTTTT